GACTACAAAAGTTTGGCATACTAGCCCTCCTAATTTTATCCCAAGATTTTCATTTTTTCATAGATTTTCCCTTTTACTCCTTGACAACCCTAGCTATAATTTTGGCCCTAATGACCCTATCAAGCTTTGGTTCCCTCTCATCAATTAGAGGGGCTTTAAAATGAGGGAGGATTCCATTCACTTTGTCCTTATCATTTTGCTTCTCCCATTCTTTTTCTAAATTGTTCATTTCTATGTTTTGGGATTACTCAGCTTCATTTGCATCCCCAATTTCCACAAGCAAGTCATCATCTTCTTTGTATTCACCCTCCTTGTCTTCTAAGTTTTTCGGTCCTTCATTTGTTTTCCTATTTGGAATGAGAGTGTGGTCTAGCAAGCATGTGAAAGGATCCTCACATCCTTGGGGTGATTCTATAACCTTTAAGAGTGTGGCCTTCTAGGTTTTTCAATCATTCATTTGTTTTCGATCCCCGAACTCCAGCCAGCATTGAAACTTTTATTTTTCTCTTAGTCACTGTTATGTCCAGTTCCTACCTTGTTGTTTATTTGGGTTTCTTGGCTTTCCAGGATCCTCACACCCTTGGGATGCATGGCTTTTGTGACCCAAAGCCATCCTGTTGTTCTTTCTTTTGTCCATAAACCAAGTTCCAAGAGTCTTGTTGGGCTAGCTTTCCCCCTAGTTTCGTTGAGTGCATTCATTTTTCTTTCTATCACACCTAGAACAGACTCTTGTATTTCCTAGTAAATGGTGTATGGGCATTGGATTCCCTCACAAATTGTGGGTATACGTAGAATCACGGGTTTGTTGATATCCATTTGCACACATGCATGAGCAAAAATACATTTTTATTTCAATAGAGTGGCCATATCGGGCTTTGTTACCTTGCCCACCTATCTAAGAATTTTTGTGAGTTGATCAAAGGTTTATAACTCAATGGGAAAATTTGGGATTTTCACCCAAATCTCTGCTGGAGATATGTCGTCATATCTGGCTTCATTAGGGGAGGGGGTTTGGGATTGTTAGAGTGGTGTTGCACCATTCAAATGGCCCCTATAGGGGATTCAATATCAACAAATACCAAAAAACAAGCACCATTTTTTTTTCTTTTTTATTCACTTTACTTTAGTCTTTAGGAAACAATCATCTTAAAAATGTTTTTCAATGCATTTCAAAATAATGAACTCATTTTTCATAATTTGTTTAGATGACCAAAATTTTTGAAAAAAAAAAGGCAAAAGGTACCAAAAGAAAAAAAAAGGTACCTTAAGGGTATCTTGAGGCAGAGCCCGTTTTGGCTATTTTATTTGGTCCATGCATCCCGTTTGTGAAAACAAGTTCATGCCCTCTTTTTCTATAAGTTTCCACTCTCCTAGTGGAGGAAGGGAAAATTCATCATATGGATGGATGAACCATGCTAGATGGTTGGACGAAATTTCAAAAAAATTCTTTTACCCTTTCTGGAATCGCATTCCCAGTTTTAGAAAAACTGCATTTTTCAATGATCGTTCTTGCACTGAAGTGGACCAAATCTGAAACCAAAAGAAAGAGAGAATGATACCTAATATAGATTCCACACGAGTAGCTCCCAAAGTGATGTTCATGCCTAAAGAGGGTACAAAAACCAGCTTCCACTGAGGATGGCACAGCTTAGGGTGAAGCCGGTTCAGCAATGCAGCCCTTCAGCAAGAACTACAATCCAACAGCTTGGATTGAGCAAGGGAGATGAGCACGAAATTAATCTGATTTTTCTTGCAAAAATCAAAAACCAAGACTGATCAAGATCAATCACTAGATGGAGAACAAACTAGGGTTTGGGTGGCAAGAGCAGAGTAAGAAAACTGAGAGCATAAAGGTTGATCTCTGGAGCAGTTTGCCCTCCTCTATTTATAAGCCTTAAAGATCAACTTCTCCTAATCCAATTAGGAGCTTCCTAATCCAAATCCTTATTTGGATCTAGACTCTTTAAGTGAATAAGAGTTATCGTCTCATCTCATTGCTGACCTAAGCCCATATCCATACCCATATTCTTCCAAGTCACATGACTACTTAAGCAAGTAGGCTCACATCCCCTTTTAGTTACTAGCCAATTTGGCTCTCTTTGTATGGCATAGGACCCTAACAATGACCTCACAAAAAGCCCATATGGGTTCAGCCTAGCTTCTGTGACAAAGCCTGGCCGAATTCATTGCTAAGCACAGTGAACCCCTAAGTCCATCAGTATAGGCTCTTAATGGGCCCAACATTTACACTAAATGGTCCTTGAGTCCAGCCATCCTATGAAGGCCCAAGGACAATGGTCTTAAGTGAGATTAGCCCATCAGGTATAACAACCCTAAATGGTCTTACACTTAACCTCTCAGCCCTTAATGATCAAACACTACCCGACAAGAGATGACATCTCCCTCGGTTGCAAGGTGCAGTGTTGCACTCTCTACTTAGATGGATCCCACAAATTAAAACCTTTTTATTAAAACATAATATATATATTGCAAAACAAATCTCAAAAAAATTTGAAATTGACTGTCGGTAGTTTTGGTTTCCATCAAAGAGAGTGTAGTCCCGATCATTCACTTTGTCTGACAAAGGAACTGATCATGTCACTATGATCACCCACTCGAGTGAATTCTCAGACTATCCCAACATACCCAGGTTTTGACCCCTAGAGGATTTCACTGATTGGCATATCAAAAACAGCCCAATTAGACACCTAGTGTAGTACCATAATCGAGTCTAGGGGTTAGATGTAATTTTTCAGTTTTGCCCACCAGTCTCCAAGGTCTAGGGCATAACTAGAAAATGGTTCGGGTTTAGTGTTTCAAACAAAACACACACTACATGTGCTTCGGGTCTAACCCTAGCAATTGAGACAAGCTACCCCAACCTACTTGGCAGCACATTAGTGTCAGCCTTGGCAGGATAAACTTCCCCAAGTTTATCCAACAACTGAGAACATTCTAAACTAACGCGAGTCTCATAAGTGTCCAGTTTAAGGGTAATTACACAGAAACACACCAAATATAACATAAATCAATTATGTACTTTCACTCATTTACAATAAATGGATCTTGTACATCAACCTGATTGAAGTTAAGGGCATACACTGTCTAACACCTAGTTCAACCGATTCTTGGTTTTCAATGAGGACTCACTTGGCTTTGGAAGATTGCTCATGAATCAACTCAAGTTTCAACCAGTTCTTGAATCTACGAAGTTGTATTGAGTTAGTCTGAGTATTAATACATAATCCTCTTTAGTCTTTTCTCCTTGTTTTTCCCCATTACACTAATATGGTAATTTTCCTACCCCAATCCCATTTTCACTTGAACAACCACCTGTGGTATCAGCCAAGCCAATGGGTTCTTGTCTCCAACTTGATCACCAAACCCACTGCTACAGTTGGCTAAGATCTGAGCCGCCTCCAACTCCAATAAACTCGCTTCCCACCAAGTACTTTATTGGAAGGAGATTCAAAATTTCAAGAATCTCCTCTCTCCCTCCCTTTTGTTTTGGTTTTGCCTTCTCTCTTTCCCTCCTCTTGCTTGTAGGAGACTCTTGTTTCACATGTTTGGGAAAAGAGTTGGCTTTGAGAATATTACTAGGATTGCTCTCTCTATAAGTTTGGGGTTGGGGGTGCTTTTTAGACACCCACACACTGAGCCAAGTTAGGCCGGGTCAAGATAGGGTGTGGGCATGGGTGCATGTACGTGTACGCGTACATGCGTGCTACACCAGATCATTTTTTTGCCTTTGATCGGTTTAAACCATTTTGACTTTTCAAAGTTAGTTTGAAACATTTTTTATCTTCTCCTTCCTGTTCTTTCTGTGTCTCTATGTCTCTTCGAACAGGTGGCTTGTTGCATTGTTCTAGAGAGACACTTCACTCTGTAAAGACACATTTGTGTCCGTTTGGGTGACTGAGAACACTTTATAAATAGAGTAGTGGTCGACCTAGTGTCACACCAACAAATTCACTATTCTATGTCTCTTTCCTTCCTGAGTATCATTTCTAAGTGGTTCACGGAGGTCTAGTAAACGGGTGCACATCTACCAGTGCCTGTGGGATGCTTTATCTTGGCAACTGATTTACAATCACCCGACTGCACCGTAGGGAACAAATACAGTTTTAAGGAGAATGACCAAGTGGCATAACTCAACCTCCATTCTCTGCAACCCTCTGCTTCACCTTCGCAGTTCTGCAACGTTATCGACATTTGGTTTAGAAACGTTTACCGATAAGTTCCATTCTACCTTATTCACATTATTTATCTAACATTCTTTCTCTCTCTAGTCTCTAACTTATTATTCAGATCTTTGATCCTAAGGTACCTGCACTTTTGATAGGGCTTATCTGTGTTGGAGTTCCGTCATAGCTCCGTGTTGGTCCTGAAGTCTTCAGCCGGTCCTGTAAACTTTGGCATGATCACCGCCCTACATCCCATCCCAACCGTGTATTGGGATCATCTCCGCACGCTGAGACGTGAATGCATCGGTGGAACGCCCTCTATAGGGCGCCAATCTGGGCTCTCTCGCCACACTGACTGAGACGAAATCTGCTCCTCGCACCAACCTCACAACGTATCGCAGCCGCCCGCACATCGAAACATTTCCCGTACTTTGTTCGTTATTCATTGTGAGATATTCTCAATAAACGGTGGGATGAGGCTACGACAGTGTTCAGTGCACATGGGACCCACGATCATGTGGATGTGGTGAGCAGCTGCCAGATCCCAGTCTCTTTTCTCCCACCTTGCGCCAATTTTGAATTCTCCGATTCCCAACGGTAAAAAGTAACGATGTTACTATGTTACTCTCACCTACAATACTACAGTGATTCCTCGCATGAACTTTGAATAGCCCTTTCATAATCATCTATACGTGCTACTTGGATGATAATGGTCGCCTGATGAACAGACTCTTTCACTGTGATTATCAGTGCACCCCACGTGTACGCTCTAAAGTCCAGGATCATAATATAGGAAATAATTTTGGAACAGCAAAACCAAGGCATTGTTCTTGAAAGTTGAAATCTCTTGCCTTTGGGTGCTACAGAAACCAAAACCAAAACCATCGAGAATGGACGACTCCGAGCCTAGAAGCTCCAATCAAGTTGCAGTTTTGCGTTGATACGACGGTTCAATTACAAGCTTCTTGAGTTACTCTAGAGTTCCAGAATACCCAAGGAGAGAATGGCTCTGAGGAGAGCAGATGCCCATTCCTTACTTATCAATGACAGAGGACGTAAGAGCAAGAAAAGTGTCGCCAATGGGGGCTTGGTTCAGCGAAAAAGCATTGAGCCCGTTGACTACTGGGCTTTTCTGGTAGAATCCAGTTTTCTATTTCAAGCCTTGTAATGTTATTTTCGGACTTTTATAACTGGAGTTATGTCCACCTTTTCTTGTGATGTTGTTTTCCGATTTCTTTGGTTATATATTTGTAAGTGATGGATTCATATGGTTTCCTTGGACGAGTTATCAAGGGAATGCTCTTGCTCTGTTGATTTATTTGACTTCGTTGTTGTTTCTTCCATTCTGAAATCTGGGTTTTGTTTCTTTCCATTCTTGAGTTTGCCTTCGGTTTGATTTGTGGTTTTCTAGGGTTTCATCTTTCATATTTAACTTGTGGGTTTTGAGGTTCAGGACGAGCGTCATGTTCGTGAGATTTTAGTTTTGTAGCTTGTTACCAACTTATTATGTATTTTTAGGTTTATATCGATTTTAGGCCTTTTCCTATTTTTCTCTCTTTTGTAGTGCCTCAGAGTGTCTCCGAGCTTGATCTGTGATTTTCTTTGATACACGACCTTTCTGATGAGTCACAGCTTACAAGAATGGCCATTTCTTTCGCGTTGTTTGATTTCTGTGACATTTTCTTTCTTGGATGCTAAAATTTAAGAAACATGTATATTTGATCAACTTCCTTTCTAGAAATATGGTGCCGGTAATGACTGATGAAGCTAAGGCCTTCTCTCTTCTGAATTCTTATATAGGAAGAAATTGAAGCACCGATGTGGGTTGATCTCACACTAGAAGCCAAGTACATGAATCAAGACAAGTGAGTTCCAGAATTCCAGGAGAATTAGGAATTGCTTCTTATTTGAATTCAGAGTTATTTGTAGTCTAATACTGTGATATTCATTGTCTTGTTCTTATGTTATACTGCAGTGATGATGCATGGTTTCAAATGGCTCATCCGTAAGCATCTTCCAGTCTTAAACATATAGAAATTTATCACATTTCAAACAGTTTTAGTGAGTAAACCCTGTGTAAATTTTCAGGTTCCACCGGTGTTCATCTCACAAATTGATTTCAGCATTTTCTCTTTCCACCGGAGGGAACTTAAACTCAAATTTTGAGTGCATCAAGCCATCATCCCCCAAGCTTCCACCTTCAGTGTCAAGATCAAGAGGGAAACATTACAAGAGCAGGAAATGGGGAGAGGGCAGTGGAGCTGTTTCTATAAATAAGCAGCACCCTATCAGAATTTTGGGTGGTAAAATTTCTCATACAGGATCATTTCAAGAAACAAAACCCCTATCCAGCTTTACAAATCCAAAATGCACTGCATATACAAGATCAAGTTTCATTTCTCAGAGAAGTTCAAGAGATTCTGTCAGATACAATTCCCTAAAAGATAAATCTACATATGGTGATACAAAAAATTTGTGTTTGAAGGCAAGTGTTGCAAGTGAAGACAATTCAATCATCACCCATTTGTGCAATTCCTCCAAATCTATGTCCAGCTTTAGAGATTCACAAAGTTCTTCGAATACAAAAGCATGCATTGTCACTGAAAATAATCAGACAACTAGGTTCTCTTCATCTATGAGAATTAGTCATACAAAAAGTTCTCCTAGTAGACAACATTCAAAGATGGAGATCAAAAAATTAAAAGGACAGAAGGCTTCTTCAAGCAAATCCAGTGTGGGCTCTTCAACTAAGAATGGAAAACAATCAAAAGGCTGCAAATCTTCTCCCAGTAAGTCAAGTGTAGGATCCTCATTGAACCCTAAATGTGATATCAAGAGTGCAACCCATCAAGAAACCATGAACAAAGATGAAACTCCAGAGAGTAGGAATACTGGGAGGTTGACTCATGCTGTTCATTACAAGGTAAAAGATTCAAGTGCCAAAACATCTACTGTTCAAGCTCCAGGTCTAATTTCTGGTTCTAGATATGGACGTAAAGCTAGTGCTGCAATATCCACTTACCAAAAGGTCTCAAAATCAAAGGTAAGAGAAGTTGTGAATATCTAATTGAGACAGCAGAACTTTAATATATTTTTTTGAACCATAAATTTATACTGCCAATTCTATGTCAGAACGCACCTCCTAAAGCATTGGGACACCTTAAGGTTAATTCACAAGATCCCTTGAAAGCTTACAGAAAAGCTAAGGAAAAAGTGGGTGGAGACAGGTCTTCTAGGCTAGCTAGGAGCAGCAAAGCGAATGTTCCAGTAATCCATGTTTCAGGTCAGAAAGCTGAAGGCAAGGAGAATTCTGTCTGTGGCATAGTTCAGGATCAAAAAGCATCAAGTCATGGTGTACAAAAGAAGAATGATTCAGGATTGACCAATCTAAAGGTGAAGATGTTTAACATCAATTACTATCAGCATATACTTCATTTATTTGTTTGTTTTTGTGGGAAGAAATGCTTTAAATTCTCTAGTGCATCATAATAAAAGGAGAAATTTGTCTAGAAACAATTTTAAACAACGAAACCAACCACAAGAATGTATTCATTTAGTAAAACTAGAAGGATATCCAAGAAAGACAAGGATTAGTTGTAAGATGTTAGCCATCAATAATTAAGGTATTTAGATTGCTGATCAGTTTAGAATTTCAAAAATAACTATTAGATTTCTGAATCAGTTTAGAATTTAAAAAAAAAAACTATTAAGGTGTTATGTCTTCCTAGTTTTTTCCTTTGTCTCATTTCTTTAACAAATACACTGCTTTGTTCAAAGGAAAAAACCTACAAAGTTGTTGGCAGGAAAAAGAAACTAGGAAGTGAAATGACTTCACTAGAAAGCTTTTATGGAGTTCATATAAAATGCCCATGAAAACCAAACAAATACTTGTGGATGAAAATAATCATCTTCTGTTCATCTAGTCATTAAGATAGTTTTGTAAAACAAGGAAAGCTCAGGGTGACCTTTAGACAAATATTTTTCTATCTAAAACAATGCTAAATAAATATATAACATACTATTAAAAAAACTATGTAAAATATACATACAAGACCAGCAGCTTTGATCATTATTTGTCACCGAATATCAGAGATTCTACACTGAGAGTCACCATTCTATCTCCTTATGATGACATTTCTGAAACAATGAGTCACCATTCTATTTCTATGTACAAATCAAGCAAGAATAAACTAAAATTCTAACAGCATTGGTTTGAACTACCAGGATTCTAACAGCATTTTATGAAGGGATTGACTAAAATGGGGATCATTGGACCATATAGCTACTTTGCAATATGATCAGGATACTTGTTCTCTATATGCAAATGATTTAGGGATATCCCTTTTTTTTAAGCTGGGCACATCCTTGATGAAAAAGACAATAGATATCTTTGTTATAATGATAAAAGTTAATTTATATGTGTAGTTGTGAAACATATACTTTTGGCTAATAATTAGGAATATGTCCCCTTGATGTTGTGCCAAATTGGTACTCTTTAGAGTTCCATCAATGAAAAAATATCATAACTTATTTCACATTCTTCACTGGATTCTTTTAAATGGTTCTTGATACTGATTTTAATGGATTTTTCTTGACAGTGTTGGACCAAAGGAGAGAACCAAAGGAAAAATCAGGTTAAAGAAGTTCAGAAGATTTATTTCCGATGAGAAGGCAACTTTTTTGGCAAGATTTGTATATATAGGCCTAATTCTTCCTCCCATGAGATAAAAAATGTAGAATATTACATGGAATAGATAAAATGGTGAACTCTTTAGCTAATAGAGGTGGATTCTGGCAGTAAATTCTTGTTTTTTTTTTTTTTTTTGCATTTTACCCATCTTTCACCCTGAAAAATTTCCACCATTTTCTGTAATACGTAAATTGCTTCTCCTAACACAAGTTGGAATTACTTGAATTTCTTGTCTCCGCATTGATAATAAGATGTAAAAAAGTACATCAATATTAAAGAAGTAAATTTGCATTCAATTAGGCCCACCCAACCCAAGTTACAACAACCCTAGCTCCTTTTGCTTCAATTTCTTTTAACAAAACTCATGCATCTCATGGGTCCCCCGCTAGTAATTAATAGCATTAATTTTAATTTATAATTATTAACATTAACATTAATTACTCAAAACAATAATATTTTAAGGTATTTTTAATTATTCTCGAAAATAGTTAATGATGAAGTTTAAATTTTATAATTAATAATAAATCTTTAATTATGATTAATAATTCTTAATTATGAATTAATAAATCTTATAATTCTTATTTTATAAAAAAATATTACTATTGTTAATTGTAATATTCAATAATATTATTAATTAATAAAACTAATATTATGAATGATTTAAAAAGTAATAAAATAATTAATTTAATTGATCATGTAAATACATATAAAATTTTAATATTTAATCTTAATAAAATAATTAATTAATTAATTTATTGGTAATATGTCACTAACATTAATTGTTAAAAATAGTAACATATTTTGGTATTAAACTTTGGTAATTCTGAATTAATGATGAATATATAAATAATAGATTTTTAATTGAACCTTGGGAATTTTTAATTAATCCCAATGTTAAAATAGTAATAAAAATAATTAATTTAATTATTCATGAAAACAATTATTAATTTTTAAATTTTAATATTAATAAACCAATTAATTATTATTGGTAATTAATTAATTTTGGTAATATCACTAATATTAATTATTAAAAAAGTAATACATTTTGGTAATTCTTAATAAAGCATGGATATAAACAATAGATTTGAAGTGAAATTTAGTTTTTTGTAATTAATGCTAAAAATAATTAATTAATGTTGGTAAACTATTAATAAATTGTCAAAAATATTAGTAATTAATCCCAAAAATATTAATAAAATAAAAAAATAGTTATTAGAAATAGTAATATTGTTTGGGATTTTTTAATTAACCATGAAAACAATTACTTAATTTTGGTATGAGTTATAATAAAACAAAATGCAATTATTAGTTATAAACAATTTTTAATATACCATTAGAAGTTAATGGGTCGTAACTGGGTTAGATTAATGAAAACCAAACCATACCCGATTGAGTAGTGGAGAGAGAGAGAGAGAGAGAGAGAGAGAGAGAGAGAGAGAGAGAGAGAGAGAGAGAGAGGGAGGGAGTGGGGAAGTGGTACTAATTAGGAGTATAAAGAAAGTTATTAGCGATTTTACTAATGTTATGTTTGGTTTGAAGGAAAAAGTAGGGAAAGGAAGGGAAACCTTTACAAACCTTGTATAGATTTCCCTTCCTTTCCCTACCTTTTTCTTCAAACCAAACATAGCCTAAGGAAATTTTAAAAATTGATCACTTGTAGTTTGGGAGTGGTGGGAAGGGGGAGGGAGAGAGGCATGGGGTGTTTGGAGCAAGGAGAGGCATTGTGATGTGGACCATATATATATATGTTTAAATATTATATTAAATATATAATATCATTTATATTTTATATCAAAATATATTTAAAATATTATTTGCATATTAATTTTCCTTTATTTATAAATACCTTTTTGAAAACAAACTTTTAATTGAAAAAAATGTGGGAATTCAAGTCCCTAATGGGGAACCCATCTCCATCGGGGATTAGGGATGCAAGATAAATTTTTGGGAGAATGACCGATAACCCCAAGTCAGAATTTGTAGGCTCAAAGTACATTTGGAGTAGGTGCCAGATCGGAATAGATGCCAATTCACGGGCAGGAATGGGTGCATAGAGTGTGATTTTTGGACCTTCTAAATGTTTACAGCTTTGCAGTGGGGATCAGAAATCTGCATTAGGCCTGTCTGTACTTTTCCGTAAATTTTTTTTCCCAACAGGGATCAGGGTCAAAGACAAGAATTAATTTAAAACTCAGGATCAGGACGGGGAGTATAACCCGGCTCCGAACCCACCCATTGCCATTCCTACCTGGGGGGGTCATCCCCCAAGCCCATAAATATAGTTGTAATAATTATGGTAATTATAAATGTAGTATCAAATACTTATAGAAATTATTAAAAATTTCCAATTATTTATTTGAATAATTGGAAGTTTTATAATTTAAATAATTATGGTAATTATAAGTGTAGTATCAAATACTTATGGAAATTATTAAAACTTTCCAATTATTTATTTGAATAATTGGAAGTTTTATAATTTAACTTTCACAAAATTAAACTACCAAAATCAGTAATTTTTAGTAATTAAATTACCGAAATTACACTAAATATCAAAGTTACTAAAAATATAAAAATAGATTTATTTTTATTGAAATTAATTTCCCACTAAAAATAAATTACTATAATACTTTAATTATTATCTGATAATATCATTAAATATTAATAAATTGACAAAATTACTGAAAATGTAAAAAACAAATTTATATTTATTAAAATAAAATTTTCAATGAAAAATTAGCAACAATTTTTAATTAATAAATTTTCATTTTTTAATATTTTAATTAATTACCAATTTTTTAGTAATTATTGATTTCAATAATTAATTTTCAAACATTTCTGAAATTAAATTACCAAAATCAGTAATTTTCAGCATGTAATTTTTAGTAATTAAATTTTCCAATTTGCCAAAAGTATGAAAAGTATAGTTTAGGTGTTGATATTTACTGAATAATATTCAATAATATCAATAGTTATTGAAAATATCAAAAATATTTCACAAATTAATTTAACCTTGTTTTTTTTTTTAGTTGGTTTATTGGGCATGTAAGATTAAGAGTTGTTTTAGGAGGACATTTAGGTGGGACCATGGGAGAGATAGTTTAGGAGCATTTTTT